AGTACCCAGCGGTCGGTTCGTTAATAGTGTTAGTACCTATGTATTATATAAATTAAATTTAACGATTTTTTTTTTCTTATACTTATATCAGTGATTTGTGTTTCTAGATTATCGATTTTCATCGAAAATACGTATTACATTATATTCAGTTACTTTTACAAATTGCATAATAAATTAATAAGTTATGCACACTGCTATAAATAAATATTCTTTGGTTTGCAATGTGACCAAAAACATATTATGTGGCTATATCAAACGTCGTTCGTCTCATTTTGTTTATCACCCTGAACGGATTTCCAATGAACTTGGTGAGATTACAATATATTCATGAAATTATTATTTCTATTTGTTTTTTATCAACAAATATTGTTTTACACATTTTAGGTAAAACTAGTAAGAAGAATATGTATCAGGCAATCAATAGTGCTATGGATTTGGTTTTGAGCAAAGATCCGAACAGTGGTATTTTATTATAGTGTTAATTATTGACCTATATTATATTTTAAGCTTAGATTTACTGAGTACAATTTTTGATTTTAATTTCTGTTATGTTGTTATTTCATACAAATTATTACATTTTTTTTTTATCCAACCAATTATCAGACAAATCAAAAATTTAATTATTATTGTTTACTTTGAGTCCCTTGGCGAATGAGCATAACAATTTTTATATATAAATTAATTAAGAATAAATAATTCACTTGGATAAAAAATATTATCTACTAATATATTCTAGTACAAAATATTTATATTCTATTCATTTTCCCATAAGTAAAATCAACTAATATTTTCATTAGATTCCATTTTATTGAAATTATCTATTAACTTTGGGTATTATCTTAACATTCTATTGTTCTTAATTAATATTTTTTTTACAAATGATTGGTCCTTAATAAATGTTAAATTCTAACTAACGAGCATAATAAATGGGATATAATGTTAGGTATATATTAATTAAAGAAAAGTCAATGGGTTAAAAGATAAAAATTCAAATTTATACATAATTTACTCTAATTAATTATTTGTTACCATTTATCTATGGTACATAATAATAATCGTTGAAAATAAATAAATTAATTTTTTGTCGCGTTTACTTAAATTAAACAAAAGTTTAATTTTTGATGCCATTTGAAATATTTTAAAATTACCTTCGAATATCCAACAGACAATGAAGTTACTGTTCAAACTCCAAATTAGAATATTAATATACATGAAAGATAAACACATTATATTGATACGTTTTTACGTTTTGGTTATCGATAATAATAATATGGTTCATTTTATTATTATTTATTACATTTAAATTATGATAACAATTTTCCATAAGCAAAATAAATAATTATGCAAATTAATTAATTTAGTGTTTTTATATTATAATATATTTATTCTCACATAATATATAATTGTACATGTATTGATATTCTAGTTGTGTTTGGTGAAGACGTTGGGTTTGGTGGTGTATTTAGATGTACTAGTGGGTTACGTGAACGTTATGGTGAAGATCGTGTCTTTAACACACCACTCTGTGAACAAGGAATTGTTGGTTTTGGAATTGGTCTTGCTGTAGCTGGTACTACAGCAATTGCAGAAATTCAATTTGCAGATTACATGTATCCTGCATTAGATCAAGTACTTCAATGATATTGTTTTTGTATCACATATGAAAAATAATACTTATAAATTATCATACATAATTTATTTTTAGTTGGTTAACGAAGCAGCAAAATATCGGTACCGTTCTGGTAATTTATTTGACTGTGGTAAATTAACTGTACGAACTCCATGTTCTGCTGTTGGYCATGGTGCACTTTATCATTCACAGAGTCCGGAAAGTTTCTATGCTCATTCGCCAGGACTCAAAGTAAATAATAATAATTAAATTTTTGATTTGTCTGATAATTGGTTGGTAAATATCTCAACATTTTATTATAATTTATGATCAATTTCTAAATATTATATTCCTACTATAATATTAAACATTATTGTCCCTTTTTTACTCTTTACGTACCTAACGTACCTTCCTTATAAACATTAATTATTATTTAAAATACATTAATTAAGCATTATGAATAAGTATACAAACAATATTAATTAAAAATAATATTTATGAAACTGTTATTTACATGTATTTGGTTTAGTATAAAGGTTTTAATACATAATAATAGTTTCATATGTAATTAGTTCTTCTACAGAGTGTTAAGAAGATTTAGAGGCATCTATATCTAAGTATATTTTCTATACACTAAATTTAGTTACAATTTATGCTCAATGYTCATAATTTATTTTTAAAAGTCTTTAAAATAATTTAGAAATTCTTTAAATAAATATTATTACAGATTGTTATGCCTCGCAGTGCACAAACAGCAAAAGGGTTACTTCTATCTTGTGTTCGAGATCCAAATCCATGCATATTTTTTGAGCCCAAAATTATGTATAGGTTAGCAGTTGATGATGTTCCTGATGATGATTATGAACTACCTTTAGGAAAAGCCGATGTGTTGATCGAAGGTAGAGATATCACTTTAATTGGATGGGGTACTCAAGTACATGTGTTGCTTGAAGTTGCGGAAATAGCTCACAAGGATTTTGGAATTTCTTGTGAAGTAATTGATCTGGTGACCATACTACCTTGGGATAAACAAACAGTAACAAACGTTAGTAGTCAAAAAATTTTACATAATCATTTTTATATTTATTCAATCTATTGTATTTTATTTAGTCCGTGAAAAAAACAGGCCGTGCTATAGTGTCCCATGAAGCTCCCTTAACTGGTGGTTTTGGCGCTGAAATAGCTGCTTCAATACAAGTAATTAA